CCTCTCTCCCTGGGCCGTGGAGCCCCCCGCCCTTCGCGCAGGAGTCACGTGTCCCACCTCATATGTCCACATCTACCACAGGATTTGGGCACATCGCAGGTAACCCGTATAAAGGTTTGTTGAGCTGCGTGACGGTATAATTTAATATCTGCGTATAAAAGGTAGATTCTTTGAGGACAAGTGCTGTGTTTTATTAGCCGTTGTATCCCTCCAACTGGGAGGTGGGGGGAGCTCAGAGGCACTGAGCAGTGGGTAGAGAGGAAGAAAAGGCAGGAGGGAGAGAGACACTGGGAAGTACTGCAGTCTCCGGAGCAGGCTGGCCTGTGGAGAGGAAGGCCCGAGAAACCCCGGAGCTGATGCCCACTGCTCACTCGTGCTGGGTAGCTCTGATGTGAGCCGGCGAGTGCTTGCTGACCTTGACCTCAGACTGCCTACTGCCTTTTCCTACCGCAAGACAGGTCACTCAGGAACTGAAATGTCAAGAAAGTGTGCTTCGTTAACGGAGCATCCATGGGATCGCACAAGCCTGAAGAGACGGTTAAAGGCTACATTATACATATGCCATTGTCTTGCTTACAAAGGATTAGTGGTGACTCAACATGATGTCTCCCCACAATGCTGAAGTATCAAACAGCACTGGCCAATTAAAGGTAAAAATCCTAAATGAAGTTGCCTGACACAGCTCACACTAAGGACCATGTGTACGTTAAACATTTAGAGATTTGAAGAACAACCTGGATTCATTAAATTGTTAATGAAGTAATTTTTTTTTTAAATCCTTGGCAACATCATATTTTACAACTTACAAATTGCACTACTTCCCTGATTCCATTGCATCCCCACAACAACCTCCTGAGCTACACGGAGGAGGCATAATGAACAGCTAACTCCATTTTACAGCTGAGGGAGCTGAAGTCCAAAGATGCACTTGGACTTCACGAAAGCCTTAGTAGGACCGACTCTCTAGTTCATGACTCCTGTCCAAGAGAAACAAGGGAGTAGTCTTCACTGTGTCACTTGCCTTTACATCCCGCTAACATCCAAAAAGATCTTGGGTGAGGTAGCCTGTGATAACAGACGCATACATGGTGAGGACTTTAAAAAGAGAGAAGAAAATCCATTTGGTGGGTGATATGGGGTTTGGGGTGGAGGTTAGGCTTGAACACCAAAGACTGACTTTGAGGCATATAATACGTAAAAGAAAAAGGTGATTTATAGAACATCATAATCTCAAAAAAAAAAAAAAAAGAGGAAGCGCCATCAGTCCTTGAAAGCAGGGTGAATGAGGCTTTGTGTTTGGGCCCCTGGGTGAGAGCGAGGGGTCCTCTCTTCCTTCAGTAAAGAACGAGAGGACAACTTTGAAATGCAGAGTCCAAACTCTACCATCTCTAACCCCAGGCATTGCATTCCATGGGAGACTCCTTTTCATTGGATCCATATAAAGATCCAGCTGTCTATGAATGAAACGGTCATCTTGACACAGAATAAGCATTAACTAGTTAAGTTTCAGTGAGAATATCGATACATCCTAAGAAAACCACAAAGAAGATCCAGATGAGTTTCCTAAGGCCCCTCCTAAAATAAAATCAATAACAAACCACATGTAGCCTGTAACAAAGCACTTTTTTTTTTAATTAGGAAAGGATGCAAAACAAAAAAAGGAAAAAACTCCTACTGAGTTAAGTGAAAATCCTAATTCAGTGGCATCACTACCAGAGGGCTTATCCTATTTTTAATCCCCAAATAAGAATAGCAGAGAAAACTATGTATCCTTTCTATAGACAGACATGTGGCTTTCAGGAAATCAAGCACACCAAATTCCCATCTTACTAAACATAAATTGGAGAGGAGATTGTTTAAAGGATTAATTACCATATTCCTTAGACTTGGAGTTTCCTTATAGGTCATTCAACATTGGACATAATTTTTTTGCAAGCAACAATTTTAAACTGTGCTTTAAGCCATTATATAAAGTCACACACACTTACTCAAGGCACTCTCCAAATTCCACTTATTTCAGACTCCCCAAATTAAAATCTCTGTGAGAGACTGCGACATACAGAAGCCTACAGTTGGCCGCCTTCATATAACACTCAAAAGATCAACGAAATGCTCCAGACAAGAGTTCTGCACCCAGTGACTTCATTAAGGAAAACATCAAACCAATCTGATACGATGCAGATGTTACAAGGACAACATAATTATAAAGAATATGCAAGACAATATCAAAATGTTGCTTCAGTTTCCTTCATAGACTCCTGTCCTTAAATCTGAAACAAAGTATACACCCACGAACCTACACTTTTTGAAGAAAAAGAAAAGAACTGCCACTTTGAATCTATATTTTTAAAGATCTCCACTTGTGCTAAGAGAGCTTTCCTCTGCTCTATTTGGTTAAAAGAATTAAGGTTTAGGACTAAGAAGATTCTTCCCCCGTGTTAAGATTCTCAAAGGTGAAGAAAGTGAAGCCCAGAAAGGGTAGCTTTGCCAGAACAAGCAGTAGCTTAATTCTGGAGGCAGAATTAGACCGCATGACTACGAATCAAGTACCCTACACTCATTTGTGCAGCAAACACTAGGAAGTAACAGCAAATATTATTCTAAAAACCCTCTGGAGAGTTGAAAAATTGCAGAGTTGTGAAGAAATAAATCACATGAAATATCTGGAACCATGGTACAGAAAAAAAAAAAAATACACCTCCCATTTAAATACGCTTCTTCTCAGCTCTGGATACAAACTGTGCCCATCTCTATCAGAGCATTTATCACACTACATACTACAGCTCACCGCTCTGTCCTGGAAGACCACAGCTCTAGAGGGCAGGACATGGGTTTCAGGGAAAGCTTCCAGGAGGAGGAGTCACTTAAACTGACAGGTAAGAATGCGTAAGAGGAGCCGTAGGTGGGGAGAGGGGTCTGCATGCTAAGTTGGGGCTGTATAAGAGCAACAACTGCACTGTGATCAAAGTTTCGTCCTGTCCTCCTGTTATTTATACACCACCTTGTTAACAGAGAATTTGTTTGGATATTAGAACTACTTCTGCCTATGCCTCAGTCTTCTGTCTTGGACCAGAACAAAACACTACTAAAAGGAAAAGACTGTCCTGTTCAACTCTGCATCCCCCAGAGAAGAGAATGATCCCTGGGACCTTACAGGTGTTTCCACTCAAATTATTTAAGTGGCTGAAAGATACAGAGCCTGCAAGGTAGCATCAAGTCTTGACATCAGGCTGAAATCTGAGTTTCTCCATCCACAACCTCACCCTCCCTATCCCTTTGTCAACTTGACCTCTAACTGTAACTGCTTTGGCCTCCTTCCGTGGGTGTGGAGTCTCCTCCTTCAAATGCATTTTCCAGCCCGCCAAGAGAGTTTCCTCCACTCTCCAGGCGCTGAGCGCTGCAAAGTTAAATCTGGCTTTAAAGATTTTTTTTCTTCCCAATCCTAACGGAAGAAATCAAGGAGCACCAGGCAGAGGCGCTCAGCTCCCTCCAATCAGAGCCAGCTCTCGCGCTGGAGCAGGAAATGGGGCGGCCTGATGCGGGGTCCGGCAGGGTGACAGCCCGCTTTCCCGCGGGACCCGGGCCACGGAGAGGGGTGGGTTCCCGAAGAGGGGCAGCCCTGAGTTGCCGCTCCCCTTTCTGCTCATTGGCAAAAAAACCCAAAACAATAAACAATAAAACAACGAGTCAGCTGTCCTAACCAGGCCAACTGCGCCCCTGGTGCACAACCCGCTACACCCCGCCAGGCTCCACTACCTGCACAAGGACCCCCCTCACCACACAGACCACCAAGCGCGCGAGAACACACGCGCTGGAGTGGTGGTGGTGGGATCACACCCCTACAAGCCCCGAGACGGGGGAGGGACAGGGGCAGAGTCTCCCAACTCGCTGGTGCCAGGACACCAGGAACCCAGGTTGGCAACGCATTCATTTAACCAGTCATGGGGGTGGGGAGCGAGAGAAAGAGCCTCTCACTCTCAGGGTGACCAGAACCCCCACGATCAGAGTCCATGCAGTCATCCTCAATGAGACACAGTAACCCGGTCACACCATGGGGGGGAGAGAAGACAGAAACAGTCTCTCCCACTGGCAGGCTATCTGGGATTCCCCACGCGCCAAGGGTCCACGCAGAGCTACCTTCACAGACACACCGAACCAGCCACACCATAAGGGGAGCGGGCACCGAGACAGTGTGCCCACTCTGATCAGAACCCCCGCGCGCGCATTCACGCGCGGGTCCACAGAGGGTCGCCGCAGGCGCGGAGTCCCCTCGGTGCCCCCCAAGGCGGAGACAATGCCCCGGCGCCCAGATGCGCTACGGCCAGGTCAGTCCTGGTCCCCATCCTACTAGCGCTCAGGGCAGCGGCCGCCACCTCTGGCAGCGACCCCGCGGTGGCCCCGCTAGGACCTGCCACACCCGGCGCTGGGACCCCGCCGCCGCCCCCGGATCCCTGCCGCCTGGGACCTCCACCGACCCAGGACCCTCGCCCAGCCCCGGGACCCCTGCCGCCTGGGACTCCGTCCAACCCCTGGACCTCCACCTAGCCCTGAAACCCCAGTCGGGTCCGCGGACCCCCACCCGGCCGAGAACCTCGCCCAACTCGAGACCCCCGCCGGGCCCGGGACTCCTGCCACCTGGGACCTCCGCCAGGCCCAGCCCGGCCGATCGGCCCTGGGACCCCCGTCCAGGTCCTGGACCCCCACCGGCCCTGGTCCCTCCCCCGGCCCCGGAACCCTGACCGCCCAGGACCCTGTTCAGCCCCGGGACCCCCGCCCGGCCCTGAGGCTCCCGTCCAGCCCCTGGACCCCGTCCGGCTCCGGGACCCCCGTCCAGCCGCTGGACCCACACAGGTGCTGGCCGCTCGCCAGCCCCGGACCGCGTCCGGCCCCGAGACCCCCGTCCGGCCCCTGGACCCACACCAGCCCTAGCCCCTCGCCCGACCCCGGAACCCTGCCGGTCCCGGACTCGGTCCGGCCCGGCCCCAACGCCGCCGCCTCACCTCAGCCCACCGCCTCGGCGGCCCTCGCTCGGGGCCGAACGAAACAGAGCCGAGCAGCCGGAGGAGCCGCGGCCGCTGCAACAATGGAGCCCCGGGGCGGGGCCGCCTGCGCCGCCGCCTCAGCCCGACTCCGGCTCGGGCTCGGACTCGGGGTCCGCACGGAGCAGCCGCCGGCGCCAGGCTGCGGCCGGCCTGGAGCAGCGCGCAGGCGCACACGCCCCGCCCGCGCCCCTACGCTCCGCCCCCAGCGGCGCCCGGCGCTCGGGGCCCGCCCCCCGACCAATGGGGAGGGAGCAGCGCGCAGGGGGCGGGGCCAGGGAAACAAAGAAGGGGGCGGGGCCGCGCTGGGGCGGGGCGGCGGGGCGGCGGGGCGGCGGGGCTGCGGGACAGCAAGCGGCCGAATCCAAGGCCCAGCCCGGGAGGGCCGAGCGTATTGTCCACTCGGAATCTGCTCAACAGGCTGTGCTCGCCCCAGACCCCAAACTCAGGTTTGTAGGGTTGGCCTGCATTACAGAAAGGGAAAATGAGGCCCAAGGAGCGAGATCACCTGCCGCCCCAAGTCACACAGCCCCCTTGTTCACTCATTCATCTTTTATTCATTCGACAAACATTTTTGCAGCACAGAGGATATGCGTTAGGAGTGGCGTAGAGGTAAACTTGGCCCTCCCCCGCAGAACCAGAGATATCTCGGGGTCACTTTAACTCATGGTAGAGCCAGGAGCTGGGACGCCTGGGCGGCTCAGTTGGTTAAGGGTCTGCTTTGGCTCAGGTCATGATCCCAGAGTCCTGGGATTGAATCTGGCCATTGGGCTCCTTGCTCAGCAGGGAGCCTGCTTCTCCTCCCTCTGCTGCTCCCCCTGCTTGTGCACTCTCTCTCTCTCTCTCTCTGACAAATATGTAAATAAAATCTTTGGGGGGAAAAAAAGAGCCAGGAGACAAGCTGTTGTCCTTTCCCACCTCAAAGCCTTTGTGGTTTTGCTATTTTGCATCTGAAATGCCCTCCTTTCCTCTCCTCTCACCCCCATGTATTCAAGTGTGGATCATCTTGAAAACCTCTGTCCTCATTGTATTTTATATTTCAGCATCATCTGACACGCATTCTGGGTTTCTCTCCACCTCACGAGCTGCTCCTCAAGTCTCCAGGATCCATCCCCTGCTCTGCTCAACCTCTACATCTTGGGGTGCTAGGGGAGCCCATGGCTGGGGCCCGATGCCCTTCTATCCGCCATGGACTCTCTTAACCAAGAAATCTCATGCTCTTCCAGGTTCCATACTGTGGTGATCGCCAGGTCTCTATCTCCAACCCTGCCTGACCCGTCCCAGATCCCCAGCTGGATGCCCACAAGGCATCTCTAACTTCTCATGGCCAACCCAAGTGCTTTATTCAACACCCCCCAACTGGCTCCTCTGCATTCTTCTTGTTCTCAGTAAATGGCTTCCATCCACACAGTTGCTCAGGCTAAAATCTGAAATCCGTCCCTTGGGTACTTTATGTCCCTTGCTCCCTGATGCAATCCCACTCTGCGTTCCCACCTCCTTCACAGCACCAGCTAGAGTTTCCTGTCTGAGTGGTTCCCCCCCACCACCCTCAGTGAAGTGTGACCTCTCCAGGACGAGGCAGGACTCTGACTCACTTCTTTGCACAGAACGGAGCCTCGTGCCCTCAAGGTATTCAGGGGATGGTGAGAGAATACATGGATAAATGGATAAGGTCCCATTTCCTTGCACATGCAGACACACACACACACACACACACACACACACACACACACACAGCCCACTGAAAGCCTGACTTCCAAACTTCCAAACAAATTCCTCCATGAATATAAAAAGCTTCCCTTCTCCTCTCCAGCCAGGCCCCCACTGTGGTTTGGGGATGTCTTCAGAGAATAGGAAGATAGCATCCCAGGGAGTAGAGTAGTCACTACAAAGGAGGGTCACTCCAGGCTGCAGACCTTTGGACATACTGCCCTCTGCCTGACACACTTTCTCCCTGTTCCATCCAACTCCTACCGACACTTCCAGCTTCTCCCTAAATGTCACTTTCCCCAGGAAGGCTTTGTAGCCACCCCTACATCAAGCACAACTGTGACAGACACACCATCAAAAAGCTAGGCCCCCTATCATGCAGGCCCACAGATATAAATTTGGCATCAACCTGAATGAGCTTGGGAGTGGATTCTTCCTGAGCAAAGCTTCCAAGTGAGGATGCAGCCCGGCCAACAGGTTGAGTGAAGCCTGAGCAGAGGACCCAGCTAAAATGTAACCCAGAAACTGTTAAGACATGTGTGCATTGTGTTAAGCTGCTACATTTGTGGTTATTTCTTCTGAAACAATAAAAAACTAATACCAGGACCCCTCCCCAATACAGACATTCACAACACCCTGTACATCTTTCATCTCAATTACACGTGTTTGTTTAAGCCTCTGTGTCTTGCCACTAGAGCTGAAAGCCCTGTGAGAATAGGAATGGGATGTGTCTTGCTCACCCTGTGCTCCAAATGCCCAGCACAGTTCTGTTCCAGGGAGTTGGTTGGAGAAAGACCCATCAGTCTGCTTGTTGGCTGGCCCTCCCGTCCCCTTCCAGCTCCTTCTCCCTGGCCATATCCCATTCTATAGACCTGAATAGTGTCTTGTCTTCCCGGCCTCCCTCAAGCCTGCCTGCGGTGGCCATGTGACTTCGTCCTGGCCAGTGAGACGTAGTGGAAGTTGGCTGAAAGGTTTCTAACAGTGGTGCCCTCAAGCCAATTTTGACCAGAACTTGAGAGCTGATTGTGTAAGAATTTTGCAAAGTCACTTCTTAAGCACAGTCATTACTCAAAAATCAAATGATATAAACTTACAATTAAAAGTTATATTAAAAACAAAGATAAATAAATACTCAAAATTCATTACTTCCTAGTCATTTTACTACAGTGTACAATTATCTATGCTATTGAGGATTTTACATCCTAATGTAACTGTATGATAGAAATGCCAGATAATGTGCTCCTGGCATCTCTTCCCATAACCACAGCGAGCAACGTCCTGTTGGTAGCTTGAAATTCGATGTGGTAGGAGAATTCATAGCACAGAAATTGGTAACGACTCTAGATCAGGACTCTCTTCCTTGCTCCCATCCCCCAGAAAGTCAGGAATTGAAGATTTACCAGCATACCCTTAATTTCCAGGGAAGGTTTTCCTCTTCGGGAAACGGAATCAGCACAGCTGATGCTGCCTTTTCTCAGCGGCAGAGATCATTACCTTTGGATGCGCGTGTGGTATCTGGATCCATAGCAGCCACTTTATAACCAGAAGCAAAGTCAGAATCAGAGAGATTCTGGCCCATGCTCCCTTGAGTCACTGAATCAAGACAAGGAATCACCTACCTCCAGATTCCATATTAGGTAGGAAAAAACAAATCCCTAGTTGTGTAAGCCAGTGTTAGTCAATTTTTCTGTTACTTACAGAATTCCTAATGGACGCATAGAGACATTCAACAAATGTCTGTCACATGGAGTAACTCAGCCTGACTCTCTTTCTTCATCCGTGGCCATCCTGTTTGGGCCCCCCGTTCACTGACAAAGCCACCAGCCAGTGAACCAGTCCAGGCAGGTTTCACAGCTCTGACCAGTAGAAAGGTTTTTCCCGATATGAAAATGAATATTGGGACCTCTTGGCACCTCAGAAAATGAGCCCGGTCCCTGTTTGCCCCCAAAGTCCTCCTGATGTAAAGAGAGCATTAATTCAGTAGGAAAATAAATCAGAGTTTCTTGACCCCAAAGTTAGACCAACACTCTTTGTGGAAATTCCTGACCTGGTTTGATACTGTGAAGGGCTCCTTGGTGGGGCTCGTGACCTGAGACCTCTTCCTAGATTCTTCTAATGACATGTCTCTCAAGAAAAACATACTTACAAGCTATCAGATGCCAAGGTAAACTGCATTTCCATGGCACTTCTGACTCAGTCTTCCTAGATTCTGGGGCCGAGAGGGAGCAAAGACCATCCGTGGCGGCTGGGCCCAGTTTAGGATGGGATGTCAGTTGAGCAAAGCAGTGAAAGCCGACAGGTGGCTGCACCAGCCATCTGTGGTCATGCAACAGGTCACCCCCAAGCCCAGCAGCTTAAAACGACGGACATTTATCACGTCACTGTTTGTGTGGGGCAGCCATCCCGGCACGGCTTGCCCGGGTACCTCTGCCTCCAGGTCGCCCGCAAGGCTGCCACCCAACTGTTGGCTGGGGCCATGGTCTCACGGGAAGGCTTGGCCGGGGACGTTCTGTCTCCAAGCTCACTCATACGGCTGTTCGCGGGCCCCCCTCAGCTGCTCACTAAGTCAACCCCACACGGGGCAACTTACATGGCAGCTGACTTTTCTCAGAGCAAGGAAAGTGGAAGCCACAAATGTTTTGTACCCAATATCACAGCTGCTGAAAACCAATGGTTTTTTTAAAAAAATCCTAAAAGCAGCCATAGAGGGGCGCCTGGGTGGGTCAGTCGGTGAAGCGTCTACTTCGGCTCAGGTCATGATCCCGGGGCCCTGGGATAGAGCTCCGCATCGGGCTCCCTGCTCCGCGGGGAGTCTGCTTCTCTCTCTCCCCCTGCTCCTTCTCTGTCTCTCTTGCTCACTCTCTCTCTCTCTCTCAAATAAATACAATCTTTTTAAGAAAATTTTAAAAATGATTTAAAAAAAAAAGCAGCCATATAAAACAAACATCATATTCTGGTGAATAACAATAAGAATTAGAGATGACATCTTACCAGAAATAAAGGAAGTCAAAAGACAATGCAACAGTCTTATAATGTTGAAAGAAAAAGGAAAAAAAACAAAACAAAACACCTATCAATCCATCTCCTCCAAAACCTACCAGCACTTACGTGCACTGGCCGTGGTCCCCACCCACCGTCGGCCTCCCCCGCCCCACGCGGCTTTGTCCCACCCAACCGCATCTCGCTCTCCCTCTGCTCTGTTATTGACCCTCTCTCCTCCCCCCTGCTCAGCTCGACCACACCCTCCCGGCTCCCCTCCCTGTCCTGCCGCCCTCCTCACTTGCCTTCCTCCTCCCTTCTTCCTCTGCCAGACGCGGGAAGGC